TATGATCCTTAGACTTAGAAAAATCACTAAAATAATCAGTTTTCCGAATTATTTTGTCATTCTTGAAGATATTGATTTGATAATTGGGATATAGTTTTATTGTCGAGCCTGTGACTTTTGTCGCAGAAAGCTTGACATAGGGATAGTGATCCGGCTTCGGCGGCGGCGTTAGCTAACTTCTTAAAAGCTTTATATTTTAGAAGGTGGAAGGTCTGGATGCTTCATACTTTGTATATGGATGCCTCATGTTACGAAGTTTCCGTCAGTCACATGTCCAATGTCCTTGACCTCATTTTCATGGTTCAGTGACTACTTGAAAAAAAAGTTCAGATTTTTTGTAATGTTAGATTCTCTCTTATTATAAGTAATAGGATAACTATATTTGGTATGTGCGTACCTTGACCTCGACCTCATTTCATGGATCAGTGAACAAGGTTAAGTTTTGGTGGTCAAGTCCATATCTCAGATACTATAAGCAATAGGTCTAGTATATTCGGTATATGGAAGGACTGTAAGGTGTAAATGTCCAACTGGCAGGTGTCATCTGACCTTGACCTCATTTTCATGGTTCAGTGGTTATAGTTAAGTTTTTGTGTTTTGGTCTGTTTTTCTTATACTGTATGCCATAGGTCTACTATATTTGGTGTATGGAATGATTGTAAGGTGTACATGTCTAGCGGGCAGGTGTCATCTGACCTTGACCTCATTTTCATGGTTCAGTGGTCAAAGTTAAGTTTTTGAGTTTTGGTCTTTTTTTCTAATACTATGTGCAATAGTTCAACTATATTTGGTATGTGCGTACCTTGCAAGGTCCTCATGCCCTTCAGACAGTTTTCACTTGACCTCGACCTCATTTCATGGATCAATGAACAAGGTTAAGTTTTGGTGGTCAAGTCCATATCTCAGATACTATAAGCAATAGGTCTAGTATATTTGGTGTATGGAAGGACTGTAAGGTGTACATGTCCAACTGGCAGGTGTCATCTGACCTTGACCTCATTTTCATGGTTCAGTGGTTATAGTTAAGTTTTTGTGTTTTGGTCTGTTTTTCTTATACTATATGCAATAGTTCAACTATATTTGGTGTATGGAAATATTTTATGATTTATTTGGCAGTCACGCAGGTTTTATTTGACCTTAGCCTCATTTTCAAGGTTCATTGCTCAGTGTTAAGTTTTTGTGTTTTGGTCTGTTTTTCTTAAACTATAAGCAATAGGTCAACTCTATTTGTTGTATGGAAGAATTGTTAGCTGTACATGCCTGCCTAGCATGGTTCATCTGACCTTGACCTCATTTTCATGGTTCATTGGTCAATGTTTAGTTTACTTGGTTAATGTTAAGTTTATGTGACAGTTGTAATAAAGCTTTATATTTAGGACTATCAACATAATATCAATGATTAGTAAAGAAGGCGAGACATTTCAGCGTGTGCACTCTTGTCATGACAAGTTACAGTTTAAGTTTGAATTTTGTTCCAGTCTGATGATTTTGTGCAGAGTTATTGTCCTAATGGACTTCGAAAATTCACTCAAATAATAAGTTTTCCACACTTTTTTTCATCATGCTTGAAGATATTGATTTGAAAATTGGTATATAATAAGTTTTATAATGACAATTTAAAGATCAAGTTCAAATTTTGTTCCGGTCTGATGATTTTGTGCAGAATTATGGTCCTTGGACTTAGAAAATTCACTTAAAAAATCAGTTTTCAACACTTTTTTTCGTCATGCTTGAAGATATTGATTTGATATTTAAGTCTCCCAAACGAAGTTACGAAATTTGGGAAGACTTATTGGTTTTGTTCACTTCTTCTTCTTCTTCTTCTTCTTCCGCCGCTTTTAAATTTGAACTTGTCCGCACCCGTTCTCCAAAACCGCTTGTCGGATCAACTTAGGGTTTCACAATATGTTAGACTAACATGTATAGTGGTGCAATCAGGGTTTTGTTTGTGCAATGGGGTTTGTAAATGGGGTAATTTGAGGGGCAAAAAGAAAGGAGGGTTTTACTATAGAAACCTATGGGATTTAATTTTTTTAAATTTTCAAATGATTATAAATTGAAAACCATTTGTGAAAGACAATCTTTTTAATTGAAAATGTTCTAAATGATAAAGCCCATTAAATGAAATACAGGGTTAGTCTGTAGGGGTCACCCCCACCCCCCTGCCATTTAAGAAAGTTCTAATATCTTGTAAGTGGTAAAGATCCCCACCCCTAAACCATATATATTCTGATTTGTTATACTAAGATGGTTTGAATGATATACAGGGTTAGTCCCCAGGGGTCATCCCGACCCCCTGCCATTTGAGAAAGTTCTAATATCTTGTAAATGGTCGAGATCCCCACCCCTAAACCATATATATTCTGGTTTGTCATGATAAAGCAGATCAAATGAAATACAGGGTTAGTCCCCAGGGGTCATCCCGACCCCCTGCAATTTGAGAAAGTTCTAACATCTTGTAAATGGTCAAGATCCCCACCCCTAAACCGTATATATTCTGGTTTGTCATGCAAAGATGGTTTGATGACATACAGGGTAAGTCCCCAGGGGTCATCCCGACCCCCTGCTATTTGTGAAAGTTCTAATATCTTGTGAATGGTCGAGATCCCCACCCCTAAACCATATATATTCTGGTTTGTTGTGCCAAGATGATTTGAATGATGTACAGGGTTAGTCCCCAGGCATCACTAATGCATATAACTTTACTAGACCAAACCAATTTTCACTGAGCTTTGCTCAATGTCAGGCAACTCTTGGAATTACGAATTATAGGAGCTTCGTTTGGGAGACTTCATAACAGCATCCTGTTACAATCATTTCTTGTTGTTACATAGTTTACACCATGACAAGTTATAGATCAAGTTAGAATTTTGTTCCAATGCAATGAATTTTTAACTGGTAGGGACTATGTATTGCCATGCAATACTCACAGAATGCTTGTTAACCTTATGATGTAAAACAAGCTTACATATAATTATTTTTGAGGGAGGGAGACAGATGATCTTCGAACATTATTAGTGATATTCTCTCTTATACCTGACTTGGGTTAAACATATACTTTGTAAATGAAAACAGTTATTCGGTTAATCTCATTGTGACAGTATTTATTTAAAGGAAAGAAACTAAGTGGGTGTACAGTCTGTAGATTGTAAATATGTTTTTGATTTATCTGTCTGTAATTTTTTCACATCTTCCTTTAAATGATTGGATATAATAAGTATAATCAAGAGACATTCATTTCATATTTAAAAAACTCTAATTTTACTTCATACCATGAAAATATTGGCATGTGGAAGCCCACAATCAAAAGTTAATAAAAGTTGTATATAAAATGTGACATTTCCAATATGATATGAAAATGTTACATTATATAAATATTACAAAGGGCATTTTATTATTTGAATCTACTATGATATTTCTTTTAATGCACCAAAATCATTGTTTGACATTTGTTATCATCTGCTCCTGTATGTAGATATATAGTTACAGAAATTTAATAAATTTGTTTGGTTATTTACTAATGAAAATTTGTCTGTCCTAAAATATTTAGGGAATTGTGTTATTAAATGTCTAGATATTAGACGAAATGTAATAAATACACATAATAACGATGATTAATGTAATGGTTTTATGGATCTCAGGTCCTGCCTGGAATACAATGTACATGATTTATATAAGATGAAGAAATATATGTAACTCTATAACTGTATGAACATTTGATATTTCATTTCGATGTAAAAAAATTGTTTTTGTTACAAATCATAATATATTGTTTTGTGTGTATAAATGTCATGCTGCCCATTAAGGGCCCTTGATTGGAACAATAAATATTCTATTCTTATATTGACTGCCAAGTGAAAATTCAAGATTAAGGTCAAAACCAGATATTATGGAGAGGAGTAATTGTTATCATAGAAAAAACTACATTAATTATGTTTAAATTTTTTTTATATTTTATTTTATACTGTAAAAATTGAAGCCCACGATCAAAAGTTAATAAAGGTTGTATATATATATGAGCTGCGTATGATAGAAATCGACCTTATGCAAATGAATTTCAATACATCTGTTAACCTATTACGGGTTGAAAAAATCTACAAGTAAAGCAATATAATTAAAATTATATTTGTTTGAAAATTAAGACACAAGAATCCTACAAAACAGACAAAAAATCGTCTTTTATTTCATATTTGAATGTTCCAAAATCAGTCAACTTCTTATACATGTACATGACTATATGTGCACTTGTATATGGTCGATTTCTATCCAATGCATCTCATATGATATATCCAATATGATAAGCATATATATGAATCCACGATGATATCCTAATGTTGATGTTTGACACTCCTGTATGATGAGGTTTGAAGTTTTAGGAATTTAAATGTTTAGTGCCAAGTGAAGTTTTTTCAGGATATGATGGGTCGAAACCAGAGAGGATTTAGGCTCAGGTTTAATTTACCTACAATAAATACACTTAATTGCTGAACATTTTTACTGGAATTAAAATTTAATATGGAATTAAAATTTAATATTCAATGTTAATTTATTTTTTATTAAAGATATTTCAAAAACTTAATAAAGTTCTAAACTGTATTTATGAAATTAATTTATTAATTTACAAATTGCAGCATTTGTCTTTTATCAAACATGTCAAACAATTGGATCTATTGACTTGATTACAAATAAAAACCATATACCATAGGCAGACACTAATTTCCAATCAATAGAACTATGATGTATTATTATACAATAATTGTATTTTGATTGCTTTGATTAATGTTCCGATGGGGATGACAAAATTTGATTATAAAGTATTGCGTGATGTTAGGAACATGAGAATTGGGAAATACTAATTCAATATTTCATATAACTTGTAAGCAACTTTTATATTTTTTGCCAAGAACTGATTTTTTTTAAAGTTTAATTTGGATGTATTGCAGTGTTCTGGTAATATCTAATTGCAGACAAAATGACCATTGTGTTATCATTCATTTCAGGAGGATTTAAAAGAAAAAAGTGTTGAAACCGTTGATGATCAATTAAATTGTGAGAATGAACCGGAAACAGTCAGTAAAGAACCTGAGAATATATCTGTAGACACTGAGAACAAGACACAAGAACCCGTCAATAAATCAGAAGAACTTGTGAACCAGACACAAGAACCTGTCAGTAAATCAGAAGAACTAGTGAACCAGACACAAGAACCTGTCAGTAAATCAGAAGAACTAGTGAGCAAGACACAAGAACCTGTCAGTAAATCAGAAGAACTAGTGAGCAAGACACAAGAACCTGTCAGTAAATCAGAAGAACTAGTTAACGAGACACAAGAACCTGTAAGTAAATCAGAAGAACCTGAGAACAAGACAAAAGAACTTGTCAGTAATTCAGAAGAACCAGAAAACAAGACAACAGAATCTGTTAAGTCAGTGAAATTTCAACAAGAGAAAACAAATGAAGGAACAGAAAAACCTAAAGTAGCCAAGGTAAGTGAGATTTATAGATAGAAAAATTTGTATGGGTTCTGCGGAACCCAGAGTCTCGCCTACTTTTGCTGTTGTCTATGTCTTCAGTGTGATAGGGGAATGCACATAATAGATTTACAGCTAATGAAATAAAATGTTTGAAATGTATGAAAAAAGTTATGCTTGTAAAAAATGAATACAGTATGCAATCAAATCTATAGATTTATAAAAGAGTTGAAACATAAATTTATTGAATGAACAAATGATAAAGAAGATAATGATAACCAAGTCCATTTATAAGTAATATATGGAAAAACAGGAAATTTTTTTTTACAAAATTTCCTTCTAGATACTAGCTTTTGATCATAAACAAGCTTCTGTCCAAGTTTGGTACAAATCCAGGATAGTTTAAGAAAGTAATTAGAATTTTTAAAAATTTAACTACAGAGTGAATGTAATGTTAACTGGCAGAAAAACTAAGTCCATTTATAAGTAAAATACTGATAAACAGGATTTTTTTTTTTACAAAAATTACTTTTGGATACTATCTTATGATCATAAACAAGCTTCTGTCCAAGTTTGTTAGAAATCCAGGATATTTTAAGAAAGTTATTAAAATTTCAAAAACTTTAACCACCGAGTGAATATTTGTGGTCGCTGCCGCTGACGACGGAATGTAGGATCACTATGTCTCGCTTTTGCGACAAAAGTTGCAGGCTCAACAAAAATGGAACAAAGTAGACACAAATGGCCAGGTCACACACAATGTTTTTTAATGAATGGACAATTATGTGCATAGTGAAGCCCATCTTTTCTAAATTTTGCAAAAAAAAATAATTAATGCATTCACAAGTTTGGAAAATGTGAGAAAATTCCTCAAACAATTTCATAATACAGCAGGTGTACAACTTCTACTTGTTTGTAATCTATGGTAAATGTTGGGTTTTTTCCATTTTATTTAAAATGCATGTGAGGTTGAATAAAACTTATATTGGGCAAAATAGATTAATATTCAGCATTAAATAGCATTGATGTAATTAGAATATAATAATTATACATCAATAATACCTCCTGGTAGAGTTATCAAATATATTCTATGGTTGATGTATACTTTGAAGTTAATATTATACAGGATATAAAGATTTCAGGTATTCATTACTAACATGTATTTTACATTGAAGTTGTTTGAACTATTCAAGTATGCACATTTGATCAATTTGTTTACCAATTTACAACCAATTGCACCTTAATGCAAAAGATCAAATATTTGTATAAAGATTGAATAGTCAATAAAAGAAGATATGGGGTATATGTCAATAAGACAGCAACCCAGCGATAAAAATAAACACAAGTCATCTAGAGGGCAGCTGGTAATATTGTCTTCAACAATAAACAGGTGTCTATGCAGTATGCCAAGTTTAAACTCATCCCAAATTTATAATTGTTGTGAAAAAAAATCTTATAGAAACAATCATAAACCTGGCATCGACACTAAATTCTCCAAATAGCAAAACAACATATAAGATATGACATAAGACAAACATTGGTGAGGTTTATAAATGGGGACAGGCACCTGAAAAGCAAGTTTTGCGATGAATGGTTTCTTCTGTTGTCAATTAATGAAATATATTCAGTAATTTTGCAATAAAATACTTTCAGAATACTGTAAATTCAGAAATTGTTGCATGCATTTATTATTGTGTTTTCGACATGACAGTCCAAAATGTGAGAACTTAATTATTGCGATTACAGGAAAGCCAAATACAAATACATGTGTCAGATTTCAGAATGTCAAAGTTCTTATTATTGCATTACTAACCCAGCATTATTCGCAATAATTTTTGAATTTACAGTATCACATAGTACATTGTACCAATTGTGTATTGTAGCCAGTAAAGAAAGGTATGGATATGACAGAAGAGTGGCACGAGGATCCCATACCTGGTATGGGGGACGCAGACAACGACACAGATTCCAGTGACTCACGGTCCAGACATAGCAGTGGTGATTCTGATAGTAGTGATAGTACCAGACCTGGTAAGATGATGAGAGTTTTCTTATAGTGATGTTTCCTTATAAAAATAAGGAGATGTGGTATGACTGCCAATGAGACAACTATTCACCAAAGTTCAAATAAAGTGGATGTTAGCAATTATAGGCAACTGTACGGCCTTCAACAATGAGAAAAACTCATACTGTATAGTCGGCAATAAAAGGCCCTGACATGAAAAATACGAAACCATTCAAATGAGAAAACTAACGGCCTAATTTATAACTAAACAATTTACGAAAAACAAATATGACGGACATGAACCAATGCCAACCACTGAATTACAGGCTACTGACTTTTCGTATCTTATTGTCAGACTGTAAAACTTTGGTTTAAAATAGAACATGTTTTTATTGGATTGCAAAGTCATATATATCTTAGATACCTTTCAGTGAATAATCAGAAATCAGAAGCTAAACATGAAGTCATTTTGGAAGTTTTGCATTAATTCATTGAAAGGTTATTGCGCCAATATTGATTGAATTTCTGCCATGAAAAATAATATGTCCTAGCTGGAAACCAATTAGTTAAGTATCATTTTGATATTTAATACTGGGTGCCTCTGGGTATATAAGTTCTTGTTGACATCCCTAGTTTTTAGTATATCACAAATGATATGTAAATGATACATTGATTGATTGATTGTTGGTTGCTTAACATCCAGTGGCAAATATTTCATGCATATTCAGGGCGAGAACAAATTAACAATAAATACAATAGGTAGGTTCTGTAAAAAGAGGCGTATGGGGTTGAGGTCGGAGAAATTTAGACTGCCACAGGAAATGAGGGTATATTGGATAGGGACAGAAATTTAGCCCTGCAACAGGTCACCTACGGACCCCTCAAAGAGTTGTTGCAAGGGTTCTTAACGTGCAAAGAGCGTGGCACTCTCTTTACACGAGTCATCGGATTTAACGTCCCCATTCTGACCGGACGTGGCTGCAAATTTGTAAATCCCGCACAGCCAAACGGACGCCCCACTTTGACGAGGGTATTACCGCCGGTCGGAGGAAGACCAATGGTGACCATACTTCTATTCCCCAGTCACCCTTGGGGTTGTAAATGATACAATATTATATGTTATGTGTATGATACAATATTATATGTTATGTGTATGATACAATATTATGTGTTATGTGTATGATACAATATTATATGTTATGTGTATGATACAATATTATGTGTTATGTGTATGATACAATATTATATGTTATGTGTATGATACAATATTATATGTTATGTGTATGATACAATATTATATGTTATGTGTATGATACAATATTATATGTTATGTGTATGATACAATATTATGTGTTATTTCAGCAAACAGACCAACATCTTTACAGACTCGTAAAAAGAAGAAGATATCTGCTAACTTCAACATTCTAAAGGAGGACTATGCTTCCCCTGATGATATAGATACTACAGATAATCCTGGGGATTTAGAATGGGAAAGTGAGTAGTTGTCTCTCTTTGTTGAATTAAGATATATTCAGACAAAATTTATACTTTTGATTCATTATTACTTGAAGGGAACCAATTTTGGGGGATTTCATGGATAAGGGTAAAACACGATTTAAATGTTCAATAAAATACACAGTTTCTAAAGGCTTTTCGGCAGACTTTGGCAAAACCAATATTTCAAAGGAACTCTCCCATTGAATAAACACTATAGCTATTGTACAGGGAACTCTCCCATTGAATAAACACTATAGCTATTGTACAGGGAACTCTCCCATTGAACAAACACTATAGCTATTGTACAGGGAACTCTCCCATTGAACAAACACTATAGCTATTGTACAAGGAACTCTCCCATTGAACAAACACTATAGCTATTGTACAGGGAACTCTCCCATTGAATAAACACTATAGCTATTGTACAGGGAACTCTCCCATTGAACAAACACTATAGCTATTGTACAGGGAACTCTCCCATTGAACAAACACTATAGCTATTGTACAGGGAACTCCCCCATTGAATAAACACTATAGCTATTGTACAGGGAACTTTCCCATTGAATAAACACTATAGCTATTGTACAGGGAACTCTCCCATTGAATAAACACTATAGCTATTGAACAGGGAACTCTCCCATTGAACAAACACTATAGCTATTGTACAGGGAACTCTCCCATTGAACAAACACTATAGCTATTGTACAGGGAACTCTCCTATTGAACAAACACTATAGCTATTATTCTCTGTGGAGTTCATTCAATGGGAACTTTAAATTTCTTCTTGAAAAACCAATCATTCATTTATGAATTTGGCTGTACCAAAAAATTAAACTCTACAGAGAAATAGTTATTGTATTCATTCAAAGTGAGAGTTCCCTTTGCAAGAAATGAAATAGCCAGGTAAACTCCAACTGTTTCATGGGAATGGTTAGATTCCTTTGCAATACTGTAAATTCAGAAATTATTGCGATGTTTTTATTATTGCGAAAAATGCGACAGGGTTATAATCGCAATAATTTAAACTCGCATTTTGACATTTTTTATATGAATTAAACAGGATTTTTCTCAATATCGCAAAAATTAAAATCGCATTTTAGTCAAAAAAGACAAAATCGCAATAATAAATGCACGCAATAATTTCTGAATTTACAGTAAATCAAAAATAAAAGTTTTCCTCAATCCATGAAAATTAGTACCCAATAATGGTACTCAATGAATCCACAGTAATCGTTGTATGGCCTTCAAATGAATGGAATGGTTATTTTAGAGATAAAAAAATTGAGATGCATATACATGTAGTGGGAGTTTTCAGTCATAAACAAATCAAACATCTTTTTCAACAGTGATATAAATCAAGTTTATTACCGGAAAAACAAAATATATCTTCTAGATATTTGTTTTAATGCACATTGAGAAATAAAGATAAAGCCCTAAAATATTCATAAATGCTTTATTTTTTGTATTATTCAGTCAGATTTCAGCTGCAAATATTAAATTGTCGTAAAACTTGCAGATATTTATTGCTTCTTACTTCAAATCATGATTTTTTTAGTTTTTTGTGTTATTCACAGTCAGAATTAAGCTTCGAATATTAAAATGCCATAAATCTTACTGATATATATTGCATCACATTTCAAATCGTAGAGACATTAATCTAAAGCTACAAAAATGTAGATTTTAATATGAATTTATAACAGTATCAAAATTCTGCAAATTTTTTATTAGAATGTACAAATGACTCGATATTCTTGTTATTCAAAATTCTTGACGCATATCACTGACAAAAGAGATTGAATTACTAAGAAAAACTGTATTATGATAATATAAAATTCAAAATATTCATTTGTTTATCAATTTTCTTGTAGTTTAGATAAGAAAAGATTTCTTTTTCATTTGGAACTTCAAATATGTGTCTACATTTAATAGTTTATAAATATAACAAAACCAATACTGGGTCTGGACCTGCATCGAATAGCCATTGTTTATAAATATAACAAGACCAATACCGGGTCTGGACCAGCATAGAATAGCCATTGTTTATAAATATAACAAGACCAATACCGGGTCTGGACCAGTATAGAATAGCCATTGTTTATAAATATAACAAGACCAATACCGGGTCTGGACCAGCATCAAATAGCCATTGTTTATAAATATAACAAGACCAATACCAGGTCTGGACCAGCATAGAATAGCCATTGTTTATAAATATAACAAGACCAATACCGGGTCTTGACCAGCATCAAATAGCCATTGTTTATAAATATAACAAGACCAATACCAGGTCTGGACCAGCATAGAATAGCCATTGTTTATAAATATAACAAGACCAATACCGGGTCTGGACCAGCATCAAATAGCCATTGTTTATAAATATAACAAGACCAATACTGGGTCTGGACCTGCATCGAATACCCATTGTTTATAAATATAACAAGACCAATACCAGTCTGGACCAGCATAGAATAGCCATTGTTTATAAATATAACAAGACCAATACCAGGTCTGGACCAGCATAGAATAGCCATTGTTTATAAATATAACAAGACCAATACTGGGTCTGGACCAGCATCAAATAGCCATTGTTTATAAATATAACAAGACCAATACCGGGTCTGGACCAGCATAGAATAGCCATAGTTTATAAATATAACAAGACCAATACTGGGCCTGGACCTGCATCGAATAGCCATAGTTTATAAATATAACAAGACCAATACTGGGTCTGGACCTGCATCGAATGGCCATTGTTTATAAATATAACAAGACCAATACTGGGTCTGGACCTGCATCGAATAGCCATTGTTTATAAATATAACAAGACTAATACCAGGTCTGGACCTGCATCGAATGGCCATTGTTTATAAATATAACAAGACCAATACTGGGTCTGGACCTGCATCGAATGGCCATTGTTTATAAATATAACAAGACCAATACCGGGTGTGGACCTGCATCAAATAGCCATAGTTTATAAATGTAACAAGACCAATACTGGGTCTGGACCTGCATCGAATAGCCATTGTTTATAAATATAACAAGACCAATACTGGGTCTGGACCTGCATCGAATAGCCATTGTTTATAAATATAACAAGACCAATACTGGGTCTGGACCTGCATCGAATAGCCATAGTTTATAAATATAACAAGACTAATACCAGGTCTGGACCTGCATCGAATGGCCATTGTTTATAAATATAACAAGACCAATACTGGGTCTGGACCTGCATCGAATGGCCATTGTTTATAAATATAACAAGACCAATACTGGGTCTGGACCTGCATCGAATGGCCATTGTTTATAAATATAACAAGACCAATACCGGGTGTGGACCTGCATCAAATAGCCATAGTTTATAAATATAACAAGACCAATACCAGATCTGGACCTCTGTTGCTGCTTGCAATTGTTTGAGCATAAAAATTGCTTATACACTGCAACTCAATATTATCAATCTTAGACCAAATATAAAATCCTTCCCTTTTATAGGAGCAAAAACGAATCCATGAAGATGGACTAAGGGAAGGATGGAGTGGAGCAGTCAGTAGACCTGCTTTCGCCATTGACAATGCAGGTAAAAATAAACAGATGTGGTATGATTGCCAATGCAACAACTTTACACCAGAGACCAAGTGACATAGAAGCTACTCTGCATTTTATTTATACTTATTTCTCATTTTCTTTCCAGATGATACTCCTGTAAGCATTCCAAAAGATCCTATCCCAGAATACAGTGCTGAAGACGAGTACCAGGATGCCAAACATTGGCGAGGAGTAGAAATCAATGGGAAACAACAGAAGATTGACCTAAAGGTCATTGACCCATATAAAAAAGTTCTGACACATGGAGGTAGGTACCTGGGAATTGAATGTATATTTGCGAGTGTAGGAAATACAGATTTGTTTGTATTGTTTTTGTATTTAACAATGGCCCAAGTGGGATTGTCGGGTTAATTATGAGAGTATTTGTTAAATTTCTTCGCCCTTTATATTCTGTAATTCATTTAATTCTCGTGGGTACTAGTTTGGTGCATTAGGTAAAAATTCCATTTTCGTGAAATTTTTTTTCTGCTAGTCTGCATACAAGTCTATAAAAAATGTGAAATTCGCTGAACCTTAAAACTCTTGGTTTTCATATACCCACAAATTCCATGAAAATTGTTATCTCGTGATTTATAATCATTGATCTACAGTAAAATTCTTTCATGCACAGTTTGAACTTGCAATGACTTATCGAGCTTTTGCTCTTCGTTAAAGGCCTCTCTATCACTTTGAAAGGAAGTACAGCAATATCAAGTGTGTGAAGAGATTTGTGTCATGCATTAATGGAAACTACAACAACTGAATAAATACTATCAATAGTTTTTCAGGTTTCTATGCTGAAGGGGGGTCGGACCTTTATTGGGACTCTGGGATCGGGTGTTTTTAAGATCGGGATTTCGGGATTGATCCTTTCAGGATCGGGGAATTCTTTTTTCGAATTTCGGGATGTCGGGATTTAAATTTCTTTAAGTTTGGGACCTCGGGATTTCATGTTTTTAACCCCAGGATTTCGGGATCAGGTCCCCTCCGACCCCCCCCCCCCCCCCCTGTATGCTATAGAATGACTATAGTTATGTTTGCAACTTTCAACAGGTTACTTTGTTAACTGACTGACTTCTATATTTGTTTATTTTCAGGTTACTATGGTGATGGACTGAATGCTATTATAGTATTTTCTGGTTGTTATTTACCCGATAGAAGTCGTAAAGATTATAATTATGTTATGGATAATTTATTTTTGTAAGTCTTAAAGATTTTTATTGCATTTATCTCAAGACATAGTTTCAAAATGAAGTTCTAAGAAAAAACACTCTGAAAATTATATTAAGTTGGTACTGAAGATTGATTGTTTGTGTTTGATACCACTTTCCTCACACTTAGTGACTAGTTTCTGTTGTACACGAAGCCAGAGTACTGAAAAAAGTAAAATCACAAAAATACTGAACTCCGAGGAAAATTTAAAAAGGAAAGTCCCCAATGAAATGGCAAAATCAAAAGTTCAAACACATCAAACAAATGGATAACAACTGTCATATTCCTGACTTGGTACAGGCATTTTCTTATTTAGAAAATGGTGGATTGAACCTGGTTTTATAGCTAGCTAAACCTCTCACTTGAATGACAGTCGTATCAAATTCCATTATATTGACAAAGATGCGTGAACAAAACAAACAGACACAATAGGTAAAAATGTCAAAAATAGGGGTACAGCAGTTAACATTGTGTTATCATCTTAATCACTATAAAAACAAACAAATGTAACGAAGAAGCACAAAAAGGCATACATCAAATTTAACATCCTCATTTTGCTTATATTATACGATTATATTTATCTATGTAAAATCCACCCATAAAGGATGGAAGGTTTTAAGTACTGGCGTAAAATCACTGAGAGAGAACCACAACCTTTGGCAGGAAAACAGGCATTCCTAGTCAAATAAAATCAGGAAAACAGGCATTCCTAGTCAATTAAAATCAGGAAAACAGGCATTCCTAGTCAATTAAAATCAGGAAAACAGGCATTCCTAGTCAATTAAAATCAGGAAAACAGGTATTCCTAGTCAATTAAAATCAGGAAAACAGGTATTCCTATTCAGTTAAAATCAGGAAAACAGGTATTCATCAGGAAAACAGGCATTCCTAGTCAGTTAAAATCAGGAAAACAGACATTCCTAGTCAATTAAAATCAGGAAAACAGGCATTCCTTGTCAGTTAAAATCAGGAAAACAGGCATTCCTAGTCAGTTAAAATCAGGAAAAACAGGCATTCCTAGTCAATTAAAATCAGGAAAACAGGCATTCCTAGTCAATTAAAATCAGGAAAACAGGCATTCCTAGTCACTTTAATCAGGAAAACAGGCATTCCTAGTCAATTTAAATCAGGAAAACAGGTATTCCTAGTCAATTAAAATCAGGAAAAGAGATTAAAATCAGGAAAACAGGCATTCCTAGTCAATTAAAATCAGGAAAACAGGCATTCCTAGTCAATTAAAATCAGGAAAAGAGGCATTCTTAGTCAGTTAAAATCAGGAAAACAGGCATTCCTAGTCAATTAAAATCAGGAAAACAGATTAAAATCAGGAAAACAGGCATTCCTAGTCAATTAGAATCAGGAAAACAGGCATTCCTAGTCTATTAAAATCAGAGTAGAGAGCACCTTACCATGAGCAATGTTTGAACCATCAATAAGCTAGTGATCCTTATGAATTACTAAGACCCATTTGGCATTAAAGCTCCCTGTATCTCAAGATCATGTCAGAATTCAATTTTGGGATATACCACTCAAAGCATTTATGTTAGATTCAGAGATCATATCAGAAAAAGATTTGTATTAATTACCTTCTTACAAGAAAACAGACTTGCTAATATCATCTAATTGCTCACATCTATTTTCATTTAGTTGATTGATTGTTGGTTGCATAACGTCCAGTGTAAGTCATTTGTTCTCTGGTAGATAGTTTTCATATTGGCAATCATACCACATCTTCTTATTTCATATTGTTGACATTTGCGTGTTATATGCAATATAACTAATTTGTTTCTGTCAGGCACATGGTGTAAGGGCTATTCCATTAAAATGTATGTGGGAGGGTAGGAACGGACTTTCAAAATATCCCTACAACCAAGAACCATTTTTTAGATAATTTTGCATAATGGTAATAGACACATACTGAAAAAAGACCCATGACCCACATTCAATAACTAAACTTCCCTTCCTACCCTCCCGCATGCATTTTAATGGAATAGCCCTAATGGTAAAACTACAAATACTTGTGTTTTATATGAAAGATATTTACATATACCAACACTGATTTACAAGGTGTCAGTGGAAATAAATAGAAGAGAATCAGATCGTTTAACTGTACTTTTTTAGCAGGATCTTGTAGTGCTGTTGTTAAAATTATTGTTGATATACTGATGCATGGCTAACAGTTGAAATATAAGCACACTTTTTACACATTGTGACTTGGATGGAGAGTTGTCTCATTGGCACACATACCACATCTTCTTATTTATATAAACAATGTTTCATTGATTTGAGAATTGAAAGGATAAAATAATCTGACATATCCAAAGGGAGATAAATCAAATCATCTCTTATGAGTTACTGTATGACTTACCTTAAAAATCTAGATTAAAAATGATGTGTAAATTTATTTCTTAATTGAAGCTTTTCAAAAAGGATTTTCTCTGACTTTAAATGATATGGATTTCAGATATGTGATTAGTACCTTAGAATTGTTAGTAGCAGAAGATTATATGATTGTGTATTTCCATGGTGCCACGCCCAGGAGACAAATGCCAAGTTTTGGTTGGCTGAAAAAATGTTATCAAATGATAGACAGAAGGTGAGCTTTTAATAGTGTGCAACATTATAATTATTTGTCTTATTATGAAAATATTCAGGAAGTCTTTTTTTGCGTGAAATAGCTGTGGCTGTGGAGAGAAAGTAAAATGACCTAAGCCGCCAATAATATGCCTCGTGAACATGATATATCTGTTAAATTACACCATGATTGTTCTATATTTAAAAAATGTGCACAAATGATGAAGTGTCTTTGTGAAGGGTTAGTATGGAATACAGGCTTTGGCAAATACGACACCAGGGATGATAAAAATGACATATCTTTGTGCATATACTACAGCCATTGTGAAATATGAAGAAAATTCTTCCGATATTAAAAAATACATGAAAAATACACTAGCTATTGATCAATCAAAGACAAAATCCAGATACTTATATAAGGTGTAATTTATATAGAGATACATCATTTTTTAAACTCTACTTCATTATCTGAGGGTTTAACCCAGTTTTCATAATGAAAAATCTATGTTTGCGTGTTTGAATACAGATTTGATTAGTTAATATCCATCAGGCTTCCATATTATAACAGGAATGTGAAATGAAAAGGCTCAGAATTCAAGAACTTACTAGAAATAATATTTATATTCTTCTTTACTTCATTCATATAAATATAAAACATTTCTAATACTGTAAATTGAGAAATTAATTTGTGCATTTATACAAAATAAATGATGAGGTTTGAAAAAGTTAGTATCATCCCTATGAATGCAAAATGTGTTGATAATACTCTTGACAAACTGGTTAGATGTGAACTGAACTTTTGTAGTCAAGTAGACTGTACTACTTGCTGAAAAAATGTGCAAACAAAATACATTCACTATAAAGATTCAAAATGAAATATATTTTGATTTGTGAATATCCACAACAAGATTCACAGGAATTTATCAGATAAGAATTATAAACCATAAAGATGCGCTCTTGTCACTTCATATTTTGTCATTCTATAATTGAAACAGTTTTTTCAAATAAATTTTCCCAAGGATTATATTTTTGAAAATTGGTGTGCTTTGAGACATATAATCCAGGGAAAATTCTCCTGCATGTGGCAAATTATTTCTTGTAAAATATCGCCGCGATATAGCCTTGTTGTGCTAATGCAGCGTAAAGCAACCAACAATCAATCAATCAATCTTGTAAAATAATTTTACTGGTAGAAAAAAATGTTAAATTTACCATTTTTGTTGGTTGAATGTGTTTGCTTTACATCAAGACATACCGGTATACCTCATGCAATGCAAGGAAAAACATCTTTTTGTATATTTACAACAGGGGTGGATCCAGCCATTTATAAAAGGGGGTGTTCCTAACCAAGGATAAAGGGGGGGTTCCAACTATATGTCCCCATTCAAATGCATTGATCATCAAAAAAAAAGGGGGGGGTTCCAACCCCCGGAACCCCCCCCCCCCCTGGATCTGCCACTTTACAATGTATAAATAATATAGGGTTATTGAATGAATATGGATGAATATTGTCCTGAGAAGATTTTTATATTGCAAAAGCTTGCATGTACAATATATATTATATAAGGGATAATGTTCTCCATCATTCATGCAAGCTTGGAATTCTATTTAAAACATAATTTTGTCACTGAGTGATGTTGTCACTAATTTGAAGCTTTATTTGATCTATATATAATATATTATTACACACTACTTACTTATTGCAAGTTTCTGTAGGAAATGCTTATGTATTTCGAAATATAAATTTTGCAGATTAAAGAAAAATTTAAAAGGTTTATTACTGATACACCCGACATTGTGGCTGAGGACAATCGTCTTGATGACAAAACCATTTATTAGGTAAGTAGAATACAGTCAAACCTGCTATAAAGTCACCTCTTTGAAGAGAAAAATTGTCAGGTCATACTATTCTTGTCCCATTTTAGGAATACCTATGCATTTGGAATCTCATTTCAAAGGTCAACTCTATTCTAAGGTAAGGTTTTTTTCTGGTCCCTTGGGTGACTTGTAATAACATTACAGGTTTGACTGTATTGCAAGATTACAAAGGAAATATACCCATTCCTGCAATTAGTTAGAACCATGCCCATATAGTTGCTTACCTTCTACATCATTTGGTTTCTGGAAGAGAGTTGTCTCATCGGCAATCATACAACATCTTATTTTTATACCAATTAAACAAGAAAATTTACATCTTTGACTTAGAGCTAACTTCTAAGTTCAGTCAAATATAGCATATTTCATTGCAGAAGTATTTATTGGGCATGCTTTAAAATTTATGACTGTAAGGTCTATTCTGCTATAACATATAAATGAATGAGGCTCTGGATGGGGTTGACAGAATAAAGAATAATGAACCCACAAAAAAGGAGGTAAACAAAATTAAAGAATACAAAAAACAAGAAAGGCTTCCATCCAGACCCTCATGAATAGGAATATATAGGGTTGATGACCATGAGTTAGCAACTTCACAAAATAATCCACATCCTAAGATTACCATACATGAGGGTCGTAATTGGGGTACCTTCATGGCGAATAACGGTAAAAAATCTTGCCAAATGAAGTTAACGGTAATTTTTGGTGCATGACGATACAATGTACACTTTCTTTAAGACAATAAAAGAATTGACTGATTTTGACGAATCACATTAAATCCTTTCCAAAAATAACTGTAACGGTTAATTATTTGAGACCTCTGACGAATCACAATAAAAATTTAACGAATTTGATGCTAACGGTAGCCGAAAATGACCATTTGTCGCCTGACAGTAAAGGGCATTCCTACCCTCATACATTGGACAAGTACTTACACTATATGAATAATCCTTATATCAGTATGTTAATGAGACAGCAACCCAAAAACCCAAAGTCAAAATAATCTTTAAAATATGAAAAGACAGTAAGAGATGAGATGATGGAGAAAAGGGAGATAATTTCCTAAATAAATCACAAATAAAAGGGTAAATGACTTGTTTTTAAGCTGAATGATAAAAGCAGCCATATAAAGAAAAAGTTGGGCTTTTCTGGCAGATGTAAGACGGCTTCAATTTGAATAGAAATGTTTCTATATATCATTTATGTAAATCTTTTACTTTAGATTCATTATTATTCGTGGAATACCAATTTTCCTGGATTTCGTGGGTACAGATGAACCACGATTTTAAATGTTCAACATAGTACAATTTTTGTATTGGCTTGTTTGCAGACTTTGGTAAAACCATGAAATCAATATCCAGGAAAATGCAATATTTTCTCAATCCACAAAAAAATAAATATCTATGAAAATAAATGAATACACAGTAGTTATACTTTGTTAAATAAGTAAATTAATTTTTATAGTAGAAAATTTTTAGGCCTGCAACAAAACTTTGCTATTTATAAGATTCAAACGAGTTCATATTTCAAAAAAAAGATAATGAAGCTTATGGCAGTTTTTGTTGTCTCGCCTTGACGGAGTCAAAAAGCGAGACTTAGGGATGCTGTTTCCGGTGTCGGCGGCAGGGCGGAGGCGTCAACAATGTATTAGTTTGTGATTAGGTCTAGTTCATGGTGAACCACTAGTGGTAGGTCAATGATATGTGGTATGCAGTTGTATTAGCATTGGCACATCTCATTACCATGGAGATTATTTGGCCCCGCCCCCTCAGCCAAGGTCTATTGACTTTGAAACTTTTCTTAGTTTACATGTATTAGTTTGTGATTAGGTCAGTTTATTGGGAACCACTAGTGGTAGGTCAATGATATTTGGTATGCAGTTGTATAAGCATTGGCATATCTCATTTCCATGGAGATTATTTGGCCCCGCCCCCTCAGTCAAGGTCTGTTGACTTTGAAACTTTGCTTAGTTTACATGTATTAGTTTGTGATTAGGTCAGTTTATGGGGAACCACTAGTGGTAGGTCAATGATATTTGGTATGCAGTTGTATAAACATTGGCATATCTCATTTCCATGGAGATTATTTGGCCCTGCCCCCTCATTCATGGTCCATTGACTTTGAAACTTTTGCTTAGTTTTCATGTTCTAGTTTGTGATTAGGTCAGTTTAAGGGAAACTGTTAGCGGTTGGTCAGTGATAATTGGTATGCAGTTATATAAGCATTAGCACATCTGATTTCCATGGAGAATATTTGGTCCTTACCCCTCAGTCATGGTCTATTGACTTTGAAACTTTTGCTTAGTTTACATGTATTAGTTTGGGATTAGGTCAGTTTAAGATGAACCACTAATGTTAAGTCAATGAATTCGGTGTGCAAATGTATTGGCATTTGCAAGTTTCATTTCCATGGAGATTATATAACCCCACTCCCTAATTATGGTTCATTGACTTTGAAACTTTTACATAGTTTACAAGTTAATGTTTGTGTTTAGGTTTGTTTAAAGGGAACTACTTATGAAAAGTCAATGGTATTTGGTTTGCAGTTGTATTAGCATTGGCACATCTCATTTCCATTGAGATTGTTTAGCCCTGTACCTTCGGTCATGGTTCATTGACTTTGAATATTTGCTTACATGTTAAAGTATTGCTTTTTAATTTCAACATTTGCATTTCAAAATAATAAATAGGTGAGACATATCTCTGTGTTAACAGTTTATTTGATTTTGACTAAGGCAGATTTAATTGTACAAAAGATAAAATCATATTTTTAAAATGTTAAATAATACTTATATTTTTTGTTATTTTTCAGCTCAAAATTTAGTTCCAAGTTAAAGTTTGTGCGAACATTGCATGACTTGTCCAATATAGTCCCTGTGGAGTACATATATATTCCAGATCAAGTAAAAAAGTAAGTTTATCACACACACTATTTTAACATTAGGTGATTACCTGGTCCATCGATGATGCAGTCTTTACGATTTACCATAAACGCATTTGACCAAGCCAGTGAAAATATAGAGAAGAAACATGGCTTTCTAAGCTTCAAATATGTATAGAAATGCGAACAAAAATTGTTTTTATATATTACAGCATTACAACATGTATTATATTAAAATAATTTTACAATATTGAATAATCTGTGTACTTAAGAACTTCATATTTAAAACATTGATAATATGATACTCTTACCTTAGCTTACACATATTTATGCTTACTCATCATTAATTTTCATGATTTTTTTCTCGCCTGCGACAAAAGTCGCGGAAAGCAAGACCAAGGGAATGCTTTTCCGGGGACTGTGACAGCTTCAGCGACGACGGCATCAACAATTGTTAAAATTTCTGCTTAAGGTTGTACTCAGGTCAGGTGAAGGATTTTTGTCACATGTTCAGACTTCATAGGGTAAAATATTTTGCCCCATATCACCCACTTTTCTTTTCATATGCTTTTCATATAAGTTTTCAATAGCTCATAAAAGGTGATTTACCAAAATTTAAGCAGATTCTAGATTTCTTTTCTTACAATTGGAGACCCAAACAATACCAATGCTAAATGTAAGGTAAAAGTCTGAGTCAACCTTTTCCCACCAATTTTTAAACGACCCCAAAAAAATTTTTGTGGTCGTATATTGGTATGACGTTGGCGTCGTCGTTGTGGTCGTCGTTGTCGTCGTCGTCGTCCAAAGACACATTGGTTTTCGCACTCTAACTTTAGTTTAAGTGAATGGATCTCTATGAAATTTTACCACAAGGTACAATACCACAAAAGGAAGGTTGGGATTGATTTTGGGGGTTATGGTACCAACAGTAAAGGAATTAGGGGCCAAAAGTAAGCATTTTTGTAACTTCCAGACATAACTTGTGTGTTAGTGTATGGATCTCTCTGACATTGTACCACAAGGTTCCATATCACAAAAGGAATGCTGAGATTGATTTTGGGGGTAATTGCCTCAAAATTTTAGGAATTAGGGGCAAAAAACAAGCATTTTTCTAGTTTCATGACAATAACTTGTGTGTAAGTGTATGGATCTTTCTGAAATTGTACTACAAGGTTCCATATCACAAAGGGAAAGCTGGAATTGAGTTTGGGGGTAATTGCCGAAACGTTTAGGAATTGGGGGCCAAAAAGGGGCCAAAAATAAGCATTTTTCTAGTTTCCAGACAATAACTTGTGTTCAAGTGTATGGATCTCTCTGAAATTGTACTGCAAGGTACCATACCACAAAGGGAAGGCTGGGATTGATGATGGGGGTAATTGCCTCAATATTTTAGGAATTAGGGGCCAAAAAGGGGCAAAAAACAAGCATTTTTCTAGTTTCAGGACAATAACTTGTGTGTAAGTGTATGGATCTTTCTGAAATTGTACTACAAGGTTCAATATCACAAAGGGAAAGCTTGAATTGAGTTTGGGGGTAATTGCCATAAACGTTTAGGAATTTGGGGCCAAAAAGGGGCCAAAAAACACATTTTTCTAGTTTCCAGACAATAACTTGTGTTCAAGTGCATGGATCTCTCTGAAATTGTACTGCAAGGTACCATACCACAAAGGGAAGGCTGGGATTGAGTTTGGGGGTGATGAATCATAAGGGGGTTCAAAAAATTTGGGGGGGGGGATTTTTTTTTTTTTCCTTTTTTTTCTTTTTTTCCTTTTTTTTTTCTTTTAAAATTTTCCATTTTAAGTTGGTTATTTCTGATTTATATTTAAAAGCAAATAATAATGATATGGTAGGAGATACACACCAATTGCAAACATGATGTGTAAATTATTATATAATAAGTATTGTACAATAGCAAGAAATTTTCAATTGCACAGTATTGCACAATAGCAAGAAATCTTCAATTGCACAGTATTGCGCAATAGCAAGAAATCTTCAATTGCACAGTATTGCGCAATAGCAAGAAATATCCAATAGCACAATATTGCGCAATAGCAAGAAATTGTCAATTGTACAGTATTGCCCAATAGCAAGAAATATTTAATTGCACAGTATTGTGCAAAAGAAGATACTTCGTATAAATTGCTTATTTCTTGACCAATTTCAATTGGGTTTTATTCTTGAATTCTTGGGGTTCTTTAATATGCTGAATCTAACCGTGTATTTAGTTTTTGGATTTTGGGCCCAGTTTTTAAATTGGTCCACATTGATGTCCAAAGGGTCCAAAATTAAACTTAGTTTGATTTTAACAAAAATTGAATTCTTAGGGTTCTTTGATATGCTGAATCTAAACATGTATGTAGATTTTTGATTATGGGCCCAGTTTTCAAGTTGGTCCAAATCGGGGTCCAAAATTAAACTTTGTTTGATTTCAACAAAAATTGAATATATGGGGTTCTTTGATATGCTGAATCTAACCATGTATTTAGATTTTTGATTTTTGGGCCCCATTAGGCCAATTAAAATTAATTGATAGATTTTCATCCCCGCCCGCCCCTCTGAAATCGTTCCGCCCCAATTTTTTTTATTTTGAAAAATTTACGATTTCCGGATTTTTGTTCATTTTCGTTACCGGTAACTGTCGATAATTTCGTTTCATTAATAACATCCTGTTTCAAATTTTGGTTTTTGCATTTCTTTGTATGTTTGATTCGTTATACATGTATATACATGATAGAACCTTATTATTACACTTGCATATATGAAGAACACGTCACAAGAGCGTTTCATATCTAATAAAAAATAAAAAATAAAATCCTCCCACCCACCCCATTTTTTTCAAAAATTTGGATGAAAATCTACTAATTAAATTTACTTGGCCTTATCAACTTTGTCCACATTGAGGTCAAAAGGGTCCAAAATTAAACTTTGTTTGATTTCATCAAAAATTGAATTATTGGGGTTCTTTGATATGCTGAATCTAATCGTGTATTTAGATTCTTAATTTTTGGTTCCGTTTTCAAATTGGTCTACATTAAGGTCCAAAGGGTCCAAAATTAAACTTAGTTTGATTTTAACAAAAATTGAATTCTTAGTGTTCTTTGATATGCTGAATCTAAACATATATTTAGATTTTTGATTATGGGCCCAGTTTTCAAGTTGGTCCAAATCGGGGTCCAAAATTAAACTTTGTTTGATTTCAACAAAAATTGAATATATGGGGTTCTTTGATATGCTGAATCTAACCATGTAATTAGATTTTTGATTTTTGGGCCCCATTATCAACTTTGTCCACATTGAGGTCAAAAGGGTCCAAAATTAAACTTTGTTTGATTTCATCAAAAATTGAATTATTGGGGTTCTTTGATATGCTGAATCTAATCGTGTATTTAGATTCTTAATGTTTGGTTCCGTTTTCAAATTGGTCTACATTTAGGTCCAAAGGGTCCAAAATTAAACTTAGTTTGATTTTAACAAAAATTGAATTCTTAGTGTTCTTTGATATGCTGAATCTAAACATGTATTTAGATTTTTGATTATGGGCCCAGTTTTCAAGTTGGTCCAAATCGGGGTCCAAAATTAAACTTTGTTTGATTTCAACAAAAAAATTGTATATATGGGGTTCTTTTATATGCTGAATCTAACCATGTATTTAGATTTTGGATATTGGACAATAATAGGTGAATGTCCAATTTAAAATTTTTAAGTTCTTAGACCACATTCATTCTGTGTCAGAAACCTATGCTGTGTCAAATATTTAATCACAATCCAAATGCAAAGCTGTATCAAGCTTGAATGTTGTGTCCATACTTGCCCCAACTGTTCAGGGTTCGACCTCTGCGGTCGTATCAAGCTGCGCCCTGCGGAGCATTTTAAAGAAGTTCCATAACCTATCAATATTTTTAGCTTGTTTTGTTCCTTAACTAATGCTCTTCTGAATTAAAGTATCAATTTTAAATTCTAAATTTTTTTAATGACCTAAGTACATCCTTAAGTTAGTTTGATAGGAACTACTTGTGATAGATCATTGATATTTAATATAACGTTGCATTACTATCAGTACATATCAGTTTGACGACTATTTTGAGGCCCTGCCCCCTAGGACATGGTCTAGTGACTTTGAATTAATTAGCAATTTTCAATGTAAAGTTTTCTACTCAAGTTAGATTGATAGGAACAACTTACAATAGACAATGATATTTTCTACACAGTTACATTACTGTCTGTACATCTCAGTTTGTCGACCATTTCTAGGCCTTGCCCACAAGATCATGGTCCAGGGACTTTGAATTCATAAGCAATGTTGCTGTCCATCATTTTCTGAATTTTATGCCGACAGGCGAGATATATCTCTGTGTCAACAGTTTATTTATCTTTGTTAATTTATTTATATAAGAGAAGATTCCAGTATGACATATTCATGACAATTGATATTTATTTACCTATAAATTTTGTATATTCTGAAAGTTGGAATTTGTTGACTAAAAGTAGTTGGCTTTCAGTTATCAATAGAATGTATACAAAAAATATCATTTTTGTAATTCTTTGCTTTAAATTTTATTGAATTTTTTTTTATTTTATGTAAAAATATGCACTTGAAAATTTTTATGAAAAGCAACAAAATTTGAGAATCAGCTGATTTATAAGGAAATACTTAAATTGTTTGTATTCTGATGAATTATTTTTAATTAATTGAAGGTATGACAGCCTGCTTCAGCATCGTTCCCCTGCTCACTCTTCCTCTTCCTCAGCTCCTCACTCTCCTCCCTGAATACACCACAGACACAGTTGTATAAAGGTAAGCACAGCACATGTGTACACATTGTAAGATAAGTACTGCACATGTATACATTGTAAAAAGGTAAGTACTGCACATGTTTACATTGTAAATAGGTAAGCACTGCACATGTATACATTGTAAATAGTTAGGCACAGCACATGTTTACATTGTAAATAGGTAAGTACTGCACATGTATACATTGTAAATAGTTAGGCACAGCACATGTTTACATTGTAAATAGGTAAGCACTGCACATGTATACATTGTAAATAGTTAGGCACAGCACATGTACATTTGCACAAAACATGGCACTTAATGACCTTTTACCACAAATAGCCTTTGGTGAAAACAAGCAATAAGGTTACATAAAACTACACTAATACGGTAAATTCAGAAATTATTGTGAGGTTTTATTAATGCGTATAGTGTGAATGGATGAGAATCGCAATAATAAGAATTTGCATTCTAATATCGGATAGATATATCTGTATGCAGATTTTCTTAAAAACACAATAATCAATATTGCATTTTTGTCCATTCTTCCAAAATAGCAATAATAAATGCAGGCAATATTTTCTAAATTTACAGTAACTAGAAGAAATCTCGATTGCTACTTACAGTCATCAGCAATAGATGGATATCTGTACAATATTTTAAGTTCTATATTGTCCCATTTCTATGAAAGTTGTGAATAAATCAAACAAAATCAAAGATATTCATGAAAATAACCTTCTACCACAGACATATCAATGTTCTCCCCAGAAATTTTTTATGGCACAAAATTTCGCAGTGAGTTACTTTTTTTTAGTGAACTATTGTAACGTGAACAAACACTCGAAATTATAAAATGCACCATAACAGCCCATAAATATCTAAAAGGTCAACATTAAAAATAAAACAAACTTAAAAGTGAAGTTAGAGGTTTTCTCAGTAACACACAAACTCCAAAAATAAAAATTATAGGAGCATGCACTTTGATTGGATAACAACTATTATATTCTTGTCTTGGCACAGGCAGTTTCAAAGGAAAACAGGTGTTAAACCAAATATGACTGTTCCAAAACTCCCTCTTTTGAATCAATCTTAGGCAATATACAGAAAAAAAATTGATCAATTTATGTAGTTTTTATGCATACTAAAAAAAATTACTCTAAAAAATTATTGTCTAAAAGGGAAAAGGTCAGTCTAGGGTTAAAGTTTGTATAAAGTTAATGTAAGTCAGAGAATAGGGTTAAGAGACCATGGGTATTAACATTCTAAAACCAGAGTACCTCAAAAAAACGAATGACTGTAATATGGCTCCAAAATACTACCTCATTTAAATATTTTGTTTTATGTGTGTTTCAGTGTAGAAGAGCTCCTTAAGAAGAATCCAAATTTACTCGATCAAAAGGAAACCCGTGATGAGAAGAGGATAAGAAAGGAAGAAGAGAAACAACTGAAACTTGAGGCAAAGAAAGAAAAAGCCAAGAAAAAGAAATAACTATTTTAATTTGTATAATTTTTAATATTTTTACTTATTTTATTATACATTCTTTCGATTATTATTGTGATTTTGTTTTTTAACTGAATGACACATTCACAAATGATTATTGACATATTTTGAGTGAAATGAAGTTTTTTATTGCATACAATTACCTGTTTGTAATTTTTAACAGAAACATACCGTTAATGAAAACAAAAAGGTACATGAATATCACACTGCTGTAGATATGTGTTACACAAAAAACAAATGACTCATGCAAATGGTCAATTTGTTCAATTTAGATTTTATCAAGCTATTTATTGACTTTTGAAGATGTTTAAATGAAAATGATCAAATAAAGCTAGAATAATTTTAAAGGTAAACCTCATCTGATTTAAGCTTTGTCTTTTAGGAGATATTGATTTCAACATATAGCAATTTTTGAATACCACATGTTACATTTGAATAAACTTCTTAAAGAGGGTGATGATACCCCCATTTTTCGTCCACCATAAATTTTCATCATGCTTTTCTAATGACCCTTCATATATGGTCATCAGCTTGACAGTGATGAGGTGTAAAATGTGAGTGCTTTTCGTATTTGTAAGAGACTTTCTTCTTGTTTTCTGATACTTCTATTTATCCAATATGTTTAAGGACACTTTTCTCAGGAACTTATGAACATAATGTCTTCATATTTGGTCAGTAGCTTGACAGTGATGAGTTGAAATGTATGAACACTTTTTTGATCCGTTAAATACTGACCTCCTGTTTTCGATACTTTGAATTATAAATTATGATATGCATGGCAGTACAAGGTGTGCAACCTCTTGTTTGAAAATGAAAAAGGTAGACAGACTACTGTTGTTACTTTAAAAAAAAACCAAAGCAGTGATTTTTTTTTCTTAGTTGATATAGAATATATAGTCTGATATTGTTTGTTAATGAATTAGAGGATGATTTTGCAATAGTCTTTTGTAGTTTATTTATGACAAAGATGATTTAATTGAGGGTTCGCATTTTCAACTCTCTGATTAATATCAGAACAGTGAGAAATATGATCATATCTTAAATAAAAATATTTTTGCTGTAATTACCCTTCCCTAGATCTTCCATCAATTTCTTCATTTTCCATCAACACTTGATGGACAATTGATGGAAAGTTGATGGTACTTGATGGAATTCCATCCTAAACCAAAAAAATCCATCAAAGGATGATGGAAATTAGGAATTTTATTTCCACCCGCATTCTTTTGATGGAAAATTTGATGGCATCTTTAACCCCTGATGGAAAAATGGATGGCATTTTTACCCTCTGATGGAAAATATGATGGCATTTATTCCACCTGATGGAAAATAGGATGGAAATGAAGGAAGTTTGATGGAAATTGGACTTAAACATTTTCTTTGATGGAAAGTGAGATGGAATTTGGACTTAGAATATTTTGTTGATGGAAAGTGTGATGGTATTTAAACTCTGTCATTTTGCTTGATGGAAAAAAACTTAGAAAATTTCAGCATAATTGTGTCTGAAAATTTCACATCCCTTACTGAGGTAAAAAGTTTTCTATTATATTGGAGCAAACAAATTTGTTTACAAGAAGTACTAGCAAGAAAGTTACATGTTGTTGCAGCTGTAACTTGTAACATAATCTCTCAATGTTACTGAAATAATATTTGTTCGTGAGAAAGTTGCAGTATTTTTCTGCAATGTTGCAAGAAAGAGTTTGTTTGCTAGAAAGTTGCAACAAACAATTTCCTAAACTGTGCAATACATTGTATATATCTTGTAACAGGAAAGGATTTCAAGAATACTTTGGTTTTTATTTCAACCAGTGTAAACTTATTAAATGTGACATATTATTTTTTGTTAAAATTACTTTTTGTCACTATTTATATGACTGTTCTGTAACCAATACTTTTATTTTTACATTGTCCATCAAATGATGCATACACCCCTTGCAGAAATAAATCCTGACAACTTTTATAACAAGGATATCTCAAGATTATCCTGGGATATCCTGAAAATATCCTGTTAGGCTATTATTAAGTCCTTTTTTTAAGGAGAAAACTTAATGGGAGAATTCCAGAAAATGTCAGGACTTTCAAATCAAGCAGCTTAAAACTGGGGGAATTCTCAGGATATCTCAAGACTTTCAAAAATCATATTATATAAACCAGAATATATCAGGACTTTTCGATCATCATTCCTCCAACTTTCAGGACATTTACAAATTCTATCTGAATGGAAAAAAAAAGGGCCTGGATGATTCCTGGTATTGGGACTTAAGAAAAAATATAATCTGTATTACAAATTCAACCAAATAAAAAAGAAAATCTTTGGGACTGAAATTAACTATTGTTTGTTAAATATATATATATTCACATTCACATGAAGATACAGTGTTTTAGCCAGGATTTAAAAAGGGCAGGGTGCTCTAGTCAGAAAAATGACAATTTTATTCGTAAAATGTCATTGAAAAAAGAGCAATTAAACTAAAATAAAACTCAGGCACTAAGGTAAAATCAAGTTTCAGTTGAAGGGGAGTAATAAAATTCAATACTTTTGACACAATTTTTTTATGTTTAGCTTTATAAATCTGGGGTCATTAATAGTGACTAATAACACCTTCACACTGCAGCTGAATTTAATTATTTAATGGCTTATGAGTTTCATATAAGTTAACCTGTTAGTTACTCATCTTTAGGATCTTATGCAACCTTACAATATTGCAATTTGAACTATTATTTTAATGCACTTGATAGAGCAATGAATGGAGGTGAAGATGAAAAAAACAATTTTCAAAATATTTATATTCTAAGTGTTTTCAGGTTAAAAATAATTAAAAGAAATATTCTAATATGCATTTGCATTCCATTTGTTTTATATTTATTTAATTACGAAAAAAAAAACCATAAATAAACGGAATATATTGTGAAAAGGTGATAAAAAAGGGGAAGTAACTCATTTTTTTTCTTTTTGGCAAACATTTTTGAAATAGACAAATTGTTTTTGACATAAAGCAAAGATAATTGGTGTTTAATTAACAATGTGTTTGACACCAAAGCTGTCAGGTGAAGCCATGCACTTAATGGGTCACTTAATTTTACAGTTTACACAGCTAGCTGAACTTCCTGTTCATGGAAGAATTACGAATTTCAGTTTGACCGTATTTCAAAGTAAGAAAAATGCCGAGATTTTCGCGATATAAACGACAGGGAACTCGAGAAACGCCAACGGCTGTTTTGCCAGACAAGCTGGGGCGTTTCTGATTTTCTCCCAAGTTCATATAAGTGCGTTTCTATTAATTATCAGATCAATGATCGACATCGTGAAACATTTGTTTCTCAACTTGTGTAAAATGTAAACAAATCATGACCACGTGTTATTTTGTAATTGTACTGAACAGTTCGACCCTAGAAAATACCGTTTTAGATAATGCGGCCAATAGTTCATCCGCATGCACCCTGTGCCGATTAAATTAACGTTGTTTTTTTCTTTTATTTAAAACTGGCCAGTTGTAATATTTTTATGCGACACCCTTGATCTATTTTCATAATACCGGTACGGGAACGGATCAACTTCTGGTCGATATAATATGGGGCGAGATTGTCACTTTGACGTTAGCGCACTTGAGAAACACGTCATCAAAATGTGATTACGCTGATATGGAGATCAAACTTGAAAATCCGATGCTGGAAAATCCGATGCAGATGTTTTCAGATAAGTGCATTAGAAATTTAATTCAACATGTGTATATTATGATTATAAATTATAATTCATTGAAGAACTATGATTTTTTTATTGTTTTTATTTGAGCAAATCAACATCAGAAAGTCTGAAATCATAAACTGAAAACTATATTTATTTTTAACATGAGTTTTTTACAATGAATAATCTTGTTGTCACATAACAGGCATAACTGGTAGACATGTAAAAAAATATTGAGTTGTGTGAATGATTATTTGGTGAAAATAATAAGTCGCCGGTTTTTAATCTTCAGGGGATAAAAAAGGGGGAGGGTAATTAATTTGATTCCAAATGGCTTCCAATGTACTGTATAAATATGCAATAATATTTCTATTGAATTTATTGCTTCAAAACGTCTTGAACAATTGATTCTTTGTGGATTTTTTTTTTTACTTTTAGGGGATTTAATGATTTTAAAATGGAGCTGCCAATTTTGATAGTAAACAGATTGCATGCAGATTCCAGTTACCTTTACTCAGCAATACTAGTTGGAAGTACAGAGACAGCAAATTTAATTACAGAAAGGAGAAGAACTTAACATGTATCCTTTATATCTGATTTTTATTAAGCCTAAATTAATATATTGTTTGTTTCCCCAATCCGACACCGCCAAGCCAGGTGTGGGTAGGTAGGTAGGGAAATAATTTTATTTTTTCCAAAAAGCTGGAACAATATTGGTCGATCTGGCAAGCCTGAAAATTGGAACTGAATAAAATAATATTTGACTTAGTTTTGACAATAAAATTTTATGAGTCGGACCCGTTTTTGCAGGGTCGGTAGGGATTGGGGAAACAGACAATATTTTATTTTAGGCCTAATATAATATTTGAAACTGAACAGCGAGCATCATTAAGCCATGGTGAACAATGTGTATCTAAATACAATTATTGAATTAAGACAATGAAATGGTTAAGGGTATTAGTGAACATGAGGAGGAGGGGGTGGGGTTGGGAACCATTTTGATAATTTTGGTAATTTAACAATCTAAGCAGCCATTAAAAATGGCCAACAAGTTTGCTAGTAGTAAGTACTAGTATCTAATTTTGATGGGAGTTTAAGGATCTGACATTAAAATAAATACAAGTCAATTTTTTTAATGGGAACTTGACAGCCATTTAAATAAATTATTAAACACAGTTATCGGGAAGGACGTCCGCCTTGCGCCAATTGCCCTTTTCGACCAGAAATGGTGCATAGAGTGACAAATGTAAGCGCCCACGTGGCACACGATATTTTTCACTCCATTATGAAATATTTGATATCGTAAAATGGATTTCCGATTGTGTTTCGTGTCGCCATGTGTATGTACAAAACTGTGTAGTGTTACCGCCAATGATAGGAGCACCACCTATATATATTTTTCGGGAGTCTCGGGTGTAAACATATTTTGGATTATATCTTTTGGTAAGTACAATGTATTAGAATTTCCACAATTTTGAATATATGTGCATGCTCTTTTAGTTCAAAGTAGTGACATTTAAAGTGTTTTATTAACTTTTAAGAGTCAAGAAAAAAAGAAGGGCATAGATTTATAAAAAGTATTAATAAAGAAGATGTGGTATGCTTGCCAATGAGACAACTCTCCACAAGAGACCAAATGACACAAAAAATATGCATATACATATCATAAAATTGTGCAGGACATGAGTCATATTTTGTATCATTTTAAAACATTATTTGTTTTATAAAATAGTACTTCTGAAAAAGTAATTTTGCTATAAAATTAGAGATCTGTGGTGTGACTGACAATATGACATTTATATATCCACAAATGGTAAAATAATATATCTTTATAAATACATGTATAGTATATACACTACCCACCAAAAGTATGATATAAAACATGGGCAAGACCCATTATGTTATAGTACAATGATTATGAAAAACAAATATTAAACACAAAAGAAAGGACAACCTCTTTATTTCTAGGGACAGTCACTTATTGTAATGATGATAATTTAGTACTGACATGAGGTTTAATGTATTGTACAGTTATATATCAGCTGCTGAACCAGGGTGGTGGTGGTGGCAATTAAGTCAACATTAGGAGTAAGACTTATAAAACTTCTATTTAATAAGTTATATAGCTCTAAAGCTCAGAAAGGGGGAGCCCACTTTCCTGAATCCACCTCTGAATATTAAATTTCTAGAAGGATTTGACACTCTTAGAAATTGACCCTGCAAGTGACACATTAATACAAATCTTTTCAAAAAGCGTTATTTTCATTTGATAATTTCAGAATTGACAACAAATGTAACTAACTAACTTTATATCTGTACAATGTTAACTTATTCTTTTACTTTTATTTTACAGAATTTGCCATCAACTAATTCAACTT